CCCGACATCTAAGATTTGTTTTGTTAGCCACATTAAATCACGTGTTGAATATTTGTCTTTTTTCTAAACAAAATGTAAAATTATTGTGCACACACTACATGGGATAATTAAACATAATTTTCTGTTTTTAGGTGGTGCTTGTCCAGATCATGGTTGGCATTGTGCAGCAGGTACAGCAGATCGCTGAAGTCCTTTCTTTGTTATACAGTAGCTTAGTATCACTGCATTTATGTGCAGACCTTTCAGGGAGTCTGGCACTGCACGGCTGTGAGAGCATGTTTCACTCTGGAGGTTGATTTGGGGGGTATGTGTGAATTAGGAGCAGCACTGATGATGACAGATGCTATTGAATGTACTCTGCTGATACATGTTTTGTTATGTGTCCTCATCCTTTAGTATAACACCAAGAAGTTATTTCCTGGCTATAACCTCTCATCACGTACATAAAAATGCACACATGAAGAGCATTGATCACTGTAGCATTTACAGTCCACTCGTCGGTCCCATGTGCACAGGGCGTCAAGCAGGCACTGGGCTATGACCTCGGGAGTTTAGAAAACTGCGTCATGACTCTTTATCGTGTTCCTCAACCCGTTCCTCATTGGTGTGGTTGGACATGCTGTGCCATTATTGCAGCATTATTTGAATCAAAGTGACAACAGTGCATTTGATTCACCTCTCAGTGATTTTAATGTCCTGTCTATAAATGGGTAAAATCTTCAGCTTGTATTTCATGGAGTAGGGAGTCATGGAAATCGATGACTATTATCTTCAAGAACCAAGTTGAATTTCATGATTCTAGAATCCTTTGTTTCCTTCTAGTGGATTGAACCCATCTTCCAGAGATCAGAAATCTCATTCTCTGTAAGTGAAACATGATCTTCCGAAGTGTGCTCATTAAAACAAGGGCAGCTCCCACCCTTGCTGAATCCACCCTTCTTTCTATTTGTATACTTTTATCCAGAGCATGGCCATCACTACGAGGGTGGAGCACCTCGTGGGGCTGGTGGTTAGTGATTTCTTTTGTCCTTGGTCCATGATACTTAGAGATAAGAGTTTGTATGTGTGGCATATTGGCATTGCTAACACATACTTTGTTATCAGGCACCGACCCACTTCCTCTGGCTCCTCTTCTTCTTTTTGACTCATTCATACCTGAACTTCTGTGCAGAACTGCTGCGCTTTGGTGATCGCCATTTTTATGGAGACTGGTGGTCAGTTGTGCAGAACATTTACTGTAATTTGTGTTAATTTTGCATCTCAGAATTAATGCAGTTTATATTTTATATACAGGAACGCTACAACTTTGATTGCTTTCTGGAAGAACTGGAATATTCCCTTTCAGAGGTGGTGTCACAGGTATTATCAACATTTTTTGGTCTGTGTGCTTGAATGTTTGACATGGGTTGTTTTTTTTGTTTTTTTTGCTTACATGTTTTTCTTTTTATGCATAAAAAGACACATTTACACTCGTCTGGTGGAGAGGAATGTTTCCCCATCACATGCCGAGTTGCTGGTTTTCCTGATGTCTGCTGCGCTTTGTGAGGTACAGTCCACTCTTCTGGCATCTTTGGAAAGGAACTATCAATGCTTCCTTACCTCCTTTGGCACAGGATACATTGCACCCTCGCTTATGGCAGTATCTGATTCTTACCTTACTGGTCTACAGTATCATATTTGAGGTGCTAGAGGACCATCGTTGCAACTATAGAGTGTAGGGCTTGAATGTCAGGGCCTTGGCTTTATTTTAGTCCCACAAATCTAGCATTTAATAAACGGGGAATCCAGCACAAGTTACAGCAATCTAATAATGTTCAGACTAAGTTTGTGCAGAACTGGCCAGAGACACTGTAAAGGTGAATCAACATCCAAGGGCCACCCCTGCTGGTCATTAACCAGAATGCAGGTTTAAGGAACTTCTGCATTTCAGACCCAGAAGTTACCTCTGAACGATCTCATATACTCCAAGATTGCAGGTGACCTTTCAAGGACCAAACATTGATCTTTAGCCCCAGAAACTTTGGTTTGTGTCCCATGTGAAGCTAAAAGTAAATGTGGAACTATTTTAGACTCTCTGAACTCGTGTTTTCAGATTTAAAAATATCTGTTTTCACACTTTGGTTAAGTTTTCGCTGTAAAACTATTTCTGGCCTTTAGGATTCTTATGAACTGACTTTACATCAGTGACAGACGCTGAAAGAGTTTTTTTTAAACGGGTGACATTTCTTAAGATTAATATCAATGTTATTTTGTTCTCATTCAGATTGTGCAATATTACTTAACAGTATGTTATTGAATGTTTGTTTCATTCCCCCATCATACGCTGCTACTCTCTTTTTATTCATTGCACAATACTATGTCACTTTTTTTATAAGCACCTGCACTGATTGTTATGTTATTTATTTTACTGGAATAGTTATATCGTCACTTTGAGTTGTTTGATATTATATTTGCATTATGCTATTGTATACTACTGTAAATTACTGTATCCTACCATTCTTACTGTATATTATTATATATCTTTATTCCTCTGTTCCTCTGTCTGGTAATTAAGTGAGATTTATGACCTTGTTTATAACCTACAAGCTGCATGAAACACACAGCAGTCAGTGTGAGATGAGTCTTTGTAGTCCATCAGTGGACATTGTAGTTTCACCACAGCTGACCCACGTCAGTGACATCCACCGTCGCTTTATTAGGTAGTTTGGTTTCTGGAGTCGAGTCAGACTTCACATTTTTTCTTGACTTCGTGATTTTTTTCTCCCACTGGGGAAAAGGAAAAGAGATTAGAGATTAGGATTGAATTGCAGCCCACTTCTATACAATAAAATTAAGCTGGTACCTCTGGATAAACACCAGTACTAATGAGCCGTGATGGTTCTCTTCTCTCTCCTACACAGTATATGATTGCTCTGCCACTGCATAGCTGCCGTCTGTGGATCTTTCTCATGATGGTGTTTGAGGTGAGATTATTGCACTGGTGGCAGCTGCTGCTGTATGGGGATCCAACTTTATCATTCATGGATGAATTTTATGCTCTTTTATTTAACAGTGTTAACAAATGCAAAAAGGCTTTAAATGGAGACATAGATTACACACTGAAATCTTAGTCCTAATAATTAAACCTGATCCACTTTATTGTTTTTGGCCTTCCACACCTAACACAATGCACTATGTTATTATAATCGGGGCGTGTCTTGAGCTGACACCATGTCTTCTTCTTGCAGCTCTTGGTCGCAGTATTCCTCCGAAACTATTTCCAGGGAAACTATGGCAACGGTTTAGTGTGGCTGTTCCTGCTGCTGGGCCCTCCTCTAGCTGTGGCCACTTACTTTCACGACCACTACGTCAGCCTCCGCGTTAACCGTCAGCATCGCCCGTCACAGTCACCACCAACATCAGAGCGGAGAGTTTTCCTGCAGCTTCACTGACTGAGTGAAGGCAGTCTAGCAGATATTCCTACACTTTTGCATTTATGACTGGGCTGAGAATTCATCTGTGAGGCAAAGCTGCACATGCCTGATGTTTCACTTCAGCAATACATATTATTCTGTGTACACCAAACCTGAGTTATGCTACTATGCATATACATCATGCTGATATTATTGGAATAAATGACTGTTTAAGGTTTCGTTATTTAAATTTGTACATTCGTGCTTTCTGAATGTGGACAGCAAAGTGAGGTGGTGACTCAGCTGCAATCAATTTGTAAAGCTCTTCCTGATGTGACCATTCCTGCTGTAATCAAAGTTGCTGCTAGGACGCCGCCACGTCAACGTGTGATTAAGAGGCCTTCATTTATATAAGTTCACCGAATCACAAGAACCGCAGACTGCCTCTTCTTATGTGAGTGTGCACAGAATCTGAAGCAGAAAGCGAAGTTCAACAGAAAGTTTATAACTTCCATCATGATACTTGTTATCTCCGACTGAGGTTTTAGGTTTTGTCGAGGCAGCTAACACAAAGAAAGACTGGCGCTGTTGAATTTTGTTTGTAGTATACCCCGTTACTTGTTCAGGCTATTGTTTTCAAATAAAGCCATCTGAGTTACTTAGCCTCATCTCCTCTCCTTGTCGTAGATCCTAGATGCATATTCCAACATTCCTATCAGGTTCCTCTTCTCTGGAGGTTCTTTTGTGGATTAACATTTGCCATCTGATAGGAATACAGCCTGTTCAACACTAAAATCACCTGCTCACTTGCTGCCTGCTGCTGGAGGACACAGTTACAAATTCCCACTTGCGCAGATATGTACTGCTCCCGTTAGCTGGTTCTCAAGACCTTTCAAATGCACTTACCATCTGTCATGAATGCAAGTGAAAGCAGGTGGACTCAAAGTGCAAACTTAAACAGTACAGGTTTAAACAGTTTGTTAATCAATCAGGATATTTACAGTCGAAGGAGGAGAGTGGGAGTTGGGGTAATGTACAGAAAATAAAAATTTCAAACTTATAACTTTTCATGCACTTTCAAGATATTGTTTTCAATTTTGGGAGACGGTAGACGCCAAAAACAGCTGAAGCTGATTTAATTTTGTAAAAAACTGGGTCATGGTCAAGGTCCCACCAAATGTAGAAAGTACTAAAAGCTTTATATTACCCACAATTTGTTAAGGATCGTCTTCAAACTTCATAACAACATACTAGGCCGTGGGGGACATGAGTACAAAGGTTGGCTAAGCATTTGACCTCGAACAAACTTCATATTTTTGCAGTAGGATTAGAGTTTTGTGTCTCCTCAAACCAGGGATCATTCAGAGCTTAGATAAAGATGTAAACTACATAGAGAAACACAGATTTAATAAAAAGTAGGGGGCATGCTTTCCTCATTCCATATTTTAATATTTTCTCATGCTTTGTAAGAAAGCAAGACGCCATATATATATATATATATATATATATA